TTATTTTGATATATCACAGTGAAAGATTTATCGTCCTCTTTTTTTTTTTTTTTTTTTTTTTTTTTTTAAAAAAAAAAAAAAAAAAAAAAAAAAAAAAAAAAAAAAAAAAAAAAGAGTTGTCAAAAAAAAAATTTCTAAAAATCCACGTGTAGCCGTTTATTTGTAATCCCAGCACTTCAGAGGTGGACACAGGTTGATCCCTGGGGGTCTGATGGCTAATTGAACCTAGCCTGCTTGGCAAGTTCAAGGCTGGTAAGAGACCCTGTTTCCAGGAACAAGGAGAATGGCTCTTGAGGAACGACAGCCAAGCTTGTCCTCTGGCCTCTTCTGCATGCACACACACACACACACACACACACACACACACACACACACGAACACAAGCAGACACAAAAATAATAAAATGACATAGTACTTGCATATTTTCCTATATTCTTTAGATCACTCTATATGACTTATAGTGGATAAGACTATGTGAATGTTATATAAATAGTTCTACTGTATTGTTTAGGGAACAATAATATAATAAAAAGCCTGTATGCATTCCATACAGATGCATTTTTTTCTGGAACCTTGGACTTCATGGTAGGCCAGTGAACTCTACCACTGAGCCCCACCACCAGCCCCTCACGGGGGGATTCTAGGCAGGCGTTCAGCTCAGTCACACTCCAGCCCTCACTGGATAAGTAGGAGCTCTCTCATGCTCCCAGTCCCTCACTGGGGGATTCTAGACAAGCTCTCTACCGCTGAGCCACACCCCAAGCCCCTCACTGGGGGATTCTCTATAGGCACTCTACTGTTGAGCTAAACCCCTAAGCACGATGGAATTTTCCCCCAAATATTTTCTTCCCATAGTTGATTGACTCAATGGATTTGGAACCCAAAGGTAGGGAGGGCAAATGTAAGCTGTTCAGACAGGAGGCTAAGCCTTTCTCCTTAGAACTGATCCCTCTGTCCTTCCTTTCTCCTATTTTCTGCAGACAGGCAAAACCTGGATCTCCAGTGGCTGTACCCAGAGCTGTACCTGCATGGGAGGGTTAATCCAGTGCCAGGACTTCAGCTGCCCTTCAGGGTCTCACTGCCAGCACAGTGATGATGGCAGCAGTAACTGTGCTGTCAACAGTAAGGGAGCCATGGGGGAAACTGGGAGGTGGAGAGGGTGGGCTGGTGGTGAAAGAGTCAGAGGCAGGCCCAAGAGGGATGCAATCACAAGTCCCACAGTGAGGAAGGGATTCTGGGGGACCAGTGACTGGACTGGGCCTCTTCTCAATGTTCAAACTTCTTAACAGAATTGGAACAATGTACCATCTTTGGGGACCCTTATTACCGCACATTCGATAACCTCAGCTACCGTTTCCTGGGTCGTATGAACTACTATCTCATAAAGACAGTGGACAAGCTCCCAGAGGGGATTGAACGCCTTGTCATGAAGGGGCGCAACAAAATATCCTCCAAAGGGAGTCCGGTCCTATATGAAGTGACCACCATTGTCTATGGCTATAAAGTTCAGCTCCAAGCAGGTCTGGTGGTTTTGGTGAGTAAGGGATAGGACAGACCTGAAGGGTCGTAGGGAAACCAGCTGCTGCCCATTATCATGAAGTTCCCAGGGGGTGTGCAGGCTGGTCATAGAAGTCAGAGTAAACGTTACTTCATGGAGAAAGATGGAGAGGGGCAGTGGGATTGAACAAAAGGTTGAGAGGGATAAGGTGATGGTGGGTAATGTGTGTGTGTGAAAAAGGAAGCTTGGGCATCAGCTGTGCTAATTTTTTTGTGTGTGTCTTTTACACTTATTTTAATATTGTTTTTTTTTTGTGTGTGTGTGTGTGTGTGTATCCTACATGAATGTAGGTACCCACAGAGGCTAGAAGAGAGTGTCATAGCCTTTAGAGCTGGAGTTATAGGTGGTTGTGAACAGCCCAAACATCGGTGCTAGGAACCGAACTCAGGTCCTGCCCTCTGGAAAAGCAGCGAGCTCTCTTAACCGATGAGCTATCTCTCCAGTCCCTACCCTTAGTGAGAGTATGTGTATGTGTGTGGGTGTGTGACTTGCCAGAGTTAGCCCTCTCCTGCCACCATGTGGGCCCTGGGGATCAATCTCAATTCCTGAAGCTTGGTGGCAACCTGCTGAGCCATGTGTCTTTCTAATTTTTTGTAAGGAAGGAGCTGGGGTATAAAAGGGGTCTCTGCCACTAGGGGTAGCAAATCCTCTCAAATATGATCATGATGGGATGAGGAGAGTTGGGAAAACCAGGCATGGGCAAGAGCAGCAGAGGGTTGACCCAGAGTGCCCTGCAGCTGTAGTCTTCCATCTCAAGGTCAACAATCAAAAGGTGGCGATCCCCTACAGTCCAAACAATCACCTACGGGTCATCATGCGAGCTCAGCGGCTGTATCTCATCACTGACTTTGAGATGGTGGTGGACTTTGATGGAAAGCACAGTGCAGGTAACTGAGACAGGGGAGCAGACATCTGAGCCAGGTGTGGTGGCTCCCGTTTGTAATCCTAGCACTCGAGGCACAGAGGCAGAAGGCTCTCCCATGAGTTTGAAGCCGACTTGGTCTACACAGGGAGTTCCAGACTAGCCAGAGCTACACAGTGAGGTGTCTCAGAGAAACTCAATCAAACCCAAACAAACAAAAAATAATAGTACAGGGTGTGGTGAGCCACACCTTTAACCCCAGCACAGTAGAATAAGCCTGGGCTACATGAGACCTTCTCCCCAAAATGAAAACAAAATCAAAAGCAAACAAAGACCACACAAAATAAAAGCCTCATTTCTGGGATGGAGCTCAGAAAAGCACAGCTCAAACAAGCAGACCATGGGGAGAGGAGTTGTACCTCAAGCTGGGGAATGGGTCCCCCCGCTTGAGAAGGGGACCCAGGATAAGATGGGGGAGGACAGAGTTGGGGGCTCACCCAGGGGACCTCCTTCTTCTTACAGTGATCTTCCTGCCTACCACATACCGTGGGATGATACAGGGCTTGTGCGGAAACTATGACAAGAACCGGGACAATGATTTAATGTTGCCCAGTGGAGTTCCCACAGCAAACCTCAAGGTCTTTGGCAACAGTTGGGAGGTGAAAGTGGTGGACACTCTCTTTCGCATCCCAAGGTGAGGGCTGGGAAGTGGGGAGATGAGTGAGAATCTCTTTCATTGGAGGGGTTGAGTGTTGGTTGAACCTAGGACCTGCTATCACTGAGCCTTACTGGGTTACTTACTCCTTACTGGGAATTATTGTCACGCGCTTGACCACTGACCCACACCACCAGCCCCTCACTGGGAGATTCTAGACAAGCCCTCTACTGCTAAGCTCTGCCCTCAACTCCTCACTGGTATATTCTTTATAGGTGCTCTACTGCTGAGCAAGATCCTTCCCCTCAACAAATCTCTTTCCATAGCCATTATGCTCTGGTCCTCAACACACAGAGACACCTTCTGTCACTTGGTCTCTTACTGCCCAATGTGAACATCTGCTGGTTGGAAATCCGCCTTGGTGCCCTTGTCCTTCCCTTAGATTTTCTCCAGACTTATTGTTCTTCCAAAAGTTCACTTTCCTCCATAGCCCCTCTCAGCTCTTGCCATCTCTACTCCAGGGCCCTACAAGAGGAAGAACAGGGAGAAGAGGAAGAATCTGACCTTCTCCCATCAGAATGCACCCCGGAGCAGCTGGCAGTCATCAGCAGCACCAAGGCCTGTAGGGTGCTGGTGGACCCCCAGGGCCCCTTTGCTGCCTGTCACCAGATTATAACCCCAGAGCCCTTTGAGCAGTGAGTCACTGGCCCAGGACATGCAAGAACATTCCAGTTCCCTGTTGCAGTGTTTCCTCTCTGATCCCCTCCAGCTCTTCTTGACTTGGCACTTTTTCTCTCTGACTTCTTTTCCTGCTCACCCTTCCTCCGCTTGGCCTTCTGTCTTTCTGCCATCAAATGCTCTACCCCTGAGCTATATACCTCCAGCCTGCTGTCTTTCTGTGTGGGGTTCGAGGCCCTCCCTC